TCTTGTTCCAGCTGCTGCTTCATCGGCTTCATCCGCTGCTCCTCCTCCTGTTCCTGCTCTTGCTTCATCGGCTTGATCGGCTTGATCGGCTGATTCGGCTGATTCTTCTCCTCTCGTTCCAGCTGCGGCTGCTCCTTGTGACCTTGCTCCTGTTTCACCTCGCGCCTGAGTTCCTTCGTCTCATGGGCTTCTTTCTCCTGCTCCTCCTCGCTCAGCTGCTCAGCTTTCTTCTCTTGCTCCTCCTCCTTCAGCTGCTTCTCGGCTTCGTTTTCCTCCTCTTGTTCCAGCTTCATCGGCTTCATCTGATCGGCTTCTTTCTCCTCCTCGTTCACCTGCTCGGCTTTCTTCTCTTCCTTCAGCTGCTCCGCTTTCTTCTCTTGATTCTCCTCTTCGTCCTCCTTCTCTTGTTCCGGCTTGATCGGCTTGATCGGCTCCTTGTGCCCTCGCTCCTGTCGTATCGCTTCTAAGACGATTTTCACCTCGCGCCTGAGTTCCTTCAACTTCAAGGCGGCGGCGTCCATGGCTTCTCCCGAGACGGCCTCACAGACACGATCTTGGACCTTCAGCTTCAAGGCCGCCGCGTCCATGGCTTCCGGGTGGACCTTGTTGTCGCCCTTGTGCGCCTTTTTTGGTCGAAAGAGAGACCACAAACCTGTGACGCATCCACTGCGCTCCTGCTCTGTTCGCGCCATAGCTTGCCCTTTGCAAAATGCCTTTAATGCCCTAACCCTTACTAAATGTATTTCACATTAATGTATAAATTAGTAATTGCCTAGCATATGCTATCCGGTTTGCAAACACTTTATAGTTTTTAAAAATTAAGTTGGAATAGTATCAAAATAGCAATTGTTGTGTTTGAGGAAGTAACTATAAACATGTAGGAAACTATCAGATCCCAGAAGCTATCTATATAACTACAAAATCCCATTACAAACACATAAAATAAACATTATAAAATCAATTACCTCCTACAATGCTACAAGACACTTTGGCTGGAAGTGTGCTTATGAATGTCTGGATCTAGCCACATAAAAGTTTGAAAGACAAAGGAAATCGTGAGAGTGTGCTGGTGGCAATAAAGAGATTGGGGAGCTATGAATCACAGCACTCTAGAAGCAATCCAGCAAGAAAATTGAAGATATGCAAACCTGGCATTTGCAATCGGTTTTGCACAGTGAAATCATAACCCTAGAGAAGAAGGTGCAGCATGAATCACCACTCTCAAGTGAGTCTACAACTTGATGGCAGAAGTGTCAATGCTTTAGAGAATTTGGTCAACATGAACGATTTCTTCTCTCGGCCCTAGAGCTTGGACTTGGACCTTGTTTTCGCCCCTTTTTTCAAACCTGTGACGCATCCACAGCGCTCCTGCTCTATTCGCGCCTAATGCCTTTAATGCCCTAACCCTTACTAAATCTATTTCACATTAATGCGTTCGTTTAGTCTAATCCACATTTTTCGGCAGTCTATCCCGGAAGATGTTTACACACTCTCATCTCTCAAGTATCTAGACGTGAGTAGAAACCAGCTCCAGGGACTTGTTCCAGAATGTTTCCAGCTTGAGAGTGCTGATCAAACCAGCTACAGTATACCATCTGACCTCAGTAAACTTCCAGAAGAAAACAAAGAAACAATATAGTAAATAAACAGTCTTTATGCATTTTCTTTGTTGGTGAATGTTTAGATGCTTACCCTAGATGTGCCATTCTTGACATCCAAACTTCCTGACGTGACAAAATTTCAAGAGCATTGAATTTACAAGGTAAATGCATTCTCCTTAAAGCTTATTCTTTATGTCATGTAGGAAAATGCAAGTCAATTTTGGTCATGTTTGCTATTGAGCTGCATCTTGTTACCAAGCACACATACTTCTACCATGTAACGCATTTGATTATAAGATGAGATTTGGATATATTGTCACTGTGGATCTTTGGAACCTTGGGGATAAATGGGGATAAAATAGCCATTAAAGGGCTCTTTCATTAAACAATTACTTTTTTTCCAATTGGTTTAAGGGGAGAGAGATAAAGTGTGTTACAGTTGGTATCGGAGCAAATGGCACGAGTTTAATTCTCATTGATTAGTAGCTTAAAAATATAATATATTTTGAACAAGGTATTATACATATTGCCCTTGAGCAAGGTATTGCATACATCCTTCCTCTTGTGTAGGCTCAGTAGGGGTTGCTAGTTATTGTATGTATTGGGCAATGTGTACGTCCTTCCTCTTGTGAGCCTGTATTGTATGTATTGGGCAATGCGTACGTCCTTCCTCTTGTGTAGGCTTAGTAAGAGTTGCTAGTTAATAGTTAATAAGGACATTAACATCTCTGAAGGGGGGGGGGGGGGGGGGGTGAGTGTATCGCATGTAATCACGGTGGATTTTTAAAACCTGGGGGGAAAAAGGGGGAAAAAAAACCTTTAAAGGGGCCCCCCAGGCCCCTTTTCCGGTTTTTTTAAGAGGAGAGAGATAATGTGTGTTATATGCTACCAATTTGCTTTTTGAAACTGTTGTATGACATTAAATTTAGCAGAAACAAAACTTTTTATTTGTTCTTTTTTAGATACAACGTCCATTCTGAGTTCATCGTCAAGCTCAGGTGGTTTAGAGGAAGGAGGAGAAGCTGTTTTTAGTGAATCAGAGTATGTGGAGTCAAGGACAATGTTAGGGATGATGCTATTGCTCATATGGTGGAAGAATTGTCATTAGATGGAGATCAAGATGCAAAGAAGCTTATTTTCAGCCTCAAGGAGATATTTGGTTTCAGCCATATCCCACTAAAGAAGCAATCTTGAATTCTGAATAAAGAAGAACAGTATTTTTATGTACTACAAGCAATGCTTCAGTGAGGGATGCAAGTCATCCAACTTCCCAACTTCAACAATTTCAAGCAATACACTGTTATAACCTTGCACTAAATAACAAAGACAAAGAGGTTTAGCCTTGCCTCTTGAGGTTTTTTTAATTATTCCACATATAGTTGGGTTAATAAATAGTGATTAAAAGTCTCTTGTTGCAAATTTTGCAACTTTTTAGTATTTAACTTACCATTAAAAGAAGATTAACCATTCTTCTTGCTTTGTTACTTACTCTTCAATTGTGAATTCCTTGTTCTTGAGTTGTTTCAGCTTCGAGGCCGCCATGTCCATGGCTTCTGGGTGAACCTTGTTGTTGCCCTTGTGCGCCTTTTTTGGTCAAAAGAGAGACCACAAACCCATAGCTTGCCCTTTGCAAAATAACCCTTACTAAATCTATTTCACATGAATGTCTTTGTTTAATTTAGTCCCATAGTCTCTCTCAAAAACAATTACAGGATTTTAGGGTGATACCAGGCCGGTTGGCTTTAGTAAAGGATTCCTTCGATTTGGAGCAGCCACAATGCCACCAGAAGGCATGGGCTGAAAAACAGTGATGAAAGGGCTGAAGCTGGAAGTCAGTAAAACTTCTTCGAGTGTGTTGGCTCCACTCACGCACGTCTGCATATCAACAGAGTCTTTGAAGTAGTTAAAGGTGACTTGAGGATTATCATCAGCATTCAGAGTTAAAAGTCGGATCTCTCCACTTGAACGAGGCTTAGCGACCTTCTGCGTGACCACAACGATTGGACTCTTCTGCGGACTGCTTAACTCTTCGAAGTATGTTCCAGATGGATCGATCCCCACACTTTGAATGAGGGAAACTTCAACTGGGGATGGTGAGCCGATGTAGACTCTGGTGGATGGATTTTCAACTATGTGTTTTCCAACATCGGGGGAATCTGCAACCACTTTGATTTTCTTAGCTTGAAGGTGGTCTCTGGGGCCAATTCCACTAAGCATGAGCAGCTGAGGAGTGCCTATTGCACCTGCTGTGAGTATCACTTCACTTTTGGATGAATTCTGGAGAAGAACAGTATACGTTTTCCCAGATAAACGGCCTGTGACTTGAACACCTACAGCTCTTGGAGTACCAGAACCTATTTAAGAGAAACGAAAACACGTCAAACTTATAAAAACTGAATAATTCTCAAAGCTCAGACACCTCGGACTTGCAGGAATCAACTCACAGGCTCCATCCCGGAAGATGTTTGCACACTAATTATCTAGACTTAAGTAGAAACCAGCTCCATGGACTCCTTCCATCCGGCCTCGAGAATTTGAGAGTGCTTGGCCTCGGATCCAGCTATGGAGCCAGATACCAGCTGAGCTTAGACAACTTTCTAGCCTACACCAGCACAAGTTTGCTAGACGGAAGAAAACAAAGAAATGAGATTATAGCTGTGGTAAGTCAATAGTGTTTATGCATTTTGTTTGTTGGTGAATGTCTACCATTGAATTCATGAGGTAAATGCTCTCTATCATTCTCCTTAAAGCTTATGCTCCAAATAGCTTTCTGTCATGCAGGAAAATGTCAAGTCAGTTTGTTCATGTTAGCATACATGTTTTTGCCACTGTGAAGGCCATTAGAACTTGTTCTAATTTAGATTTTTCATTATAACACAGTTAATCAGGTGAGTAAGTTTTTCAATATAGTCCTTCATTGTTTTGTTGAAAATATCAAAGTTCCATATGATCATTCTTCAAGATAATGGAATTGTGTATTCATTGTGAAGTAGGTTGCTTGCAAGCAAGTATGAGCAAGGTTGTCTGTTGCCATTTCTTGTCTGATGCTCCATGTTATGATGAGGGGCAATAAAAGCAACCTCAAACTCATCTATGATAGACATTAATAGTTTTTTATTCGCAATGCATATAAGACTCTTCAAGCCAATTCCACTATCAAAGACTTACATTATGTAAAACCATTGGAATAATCATTAAAATCTTTGCATCTAAGGTTCTTTTAGCAACCAAGAAATTCTTCACAATAATAATTAAATTAGACACTTGTCCACACTATCACCCAAAAATGTAGTGTTTTGAGTTGATTTATCAAAGAAGTTTACTTGGAGCATATATCATAGCCATTATACCATCCATCTCTTTTTGCATTTCCTCTTGCATTTTTTATTGATTTTTATTGAGGGGTTGCAACTCATGAATAACAATCTACATTGAGTTATTCTTCTTTATGACAAAAATTGTTGCACCAAATAAAGACTTACTTAGCTAAATAAATCCAAACTTAATTAGCTTTTTTGATTTATTGTTGAATTTTTTGCTTACCTTGGTAGATTTGCCTCATTCCTAGCTCTAGTATAATTTTATATTCTACATCTTGTAATGGAAGAATGAGGAAATTCAGATAGAAAGACATTGGCAAACTCTTTAAATTTGGTGCATTCGAGCACTATGCTGCCACTGTAGCGCTGCTAACACCTCTACTGCCTAAGAACGTGAAGAGCACACCGCCATCACCACCACATTGCAAAATCCCGGGACACTTTCCATGGATGGATGTGGTATCATCATCATCCATCGCAACATGGTAACCTATGCTCATATCACATCTTGCATTACTGTCTTTCCTCCTACATGTGCTTTGTTCCCCTTAAGTCACGAATAAATAATAAATAAGTGCAGTTCTATAACAAAAAACCCACTTCAAATATATAACAAAGAGTATAACAATTGGAGGTTGAACTCCATCTTGAAATCATATATCCTTGATGCTACCGTACTATAGTGAGACATGTTTAATGCTCTACTTTATTTCCGGATCCACCTTCACCAACCATGGCATTCTAAAAATGAGATCCACATAATAGATATCTATCGTGAATGTGATTTCGGTATCAGAAGTTACTTGTCGGCCAGTTCTTACAGACACTCTTTCCTTACTGCCACGACGGCAGGAGGTCGGTATTGTTAGACCCTTTATTAGTCCCTATTGTGCTAGTGGAGTTAATTGGGCATTTCGAGTGTACTTAGACTAGACGAGCATAAGGACAGAATTTCTATGTGTTATTAGCTAAGCATATTTAGCATAGTAAGGAGTTCCCGTTTCATTATATCTTGCATTGGCTAGTGACAAGAACCCTCGTATATTGAGACTAGTCCTTCAATATTGCTAGATGATAGCTTACCGTGTTTACTAAACACCCTCACTATCATGCACTTTGTGTTAGTCTCACTTCGGTCTTAAATGCTATTTATGGAGAGTGTCTAGATTTACTCATTTGGTATATCTATAGAATGTAGAGATTGTCTTGAACACAACGGTGTTCATCCCATGTCCAATTTCGCAATTTAAGGATATTCCATATTTAGTAAGTTTTAGTACTGTTCACACTCAAGGACATTTAACCCTAAATATCTCAAGACCCTTAATTGATTGAAAAAGGGGGTGCATTCTTATTCATGGGCCCTTTCCCTCTATATTTGAACCCCAACGGATTGTCTCTCAAGTCATTCCCTTTGGTTTCTTACATTTATATTCCTAGAAGTGGCACCAAACTTCTTTACCCTATACTTACATACCACCAAAATCTTATCAAGTTTTATGGCTTGATTAATTGCCTCTAAATCAAATTTATCCTAAACATCCTTGCTTAAATGCAATGCTATTTGAGAATGCCTTTTAAAAATGGTAAAGTAAAGCCTTAGCTTGGTTCCATTATGCTGACTATTATTATAAGTAAATTGCACTAATGAAATATATAAATTCCATTATCCTTGTCTTTAGTTAATGCTATAGTATAGTATATCCTCTACCAAGCCTTCACAAAGCTCTTCCAAAATCCATTAGTGAACTTTGAGTTTCAATCGCTGACAATATCCTTTAACAAATTAAAATTAGAAAAAACCTCCAAATAAACTATAGCCAAGTTTTAGGTAGTGAAAGTTTTTTGAAGAACCAATGACTGCATATACTTTATTAATTGATCCACTATAACCCATGTATTTGTGGCAAATAAGTGATGAAGTTCATAAAAATACTACATTAATGGCTTTGAGGAATAGATAAATGTTACAAAAGCCCCTAACTTTTCCTATTTACCTGCTAATAAAGTTTGTATAACTTACAATAGTTGAGAATATCAAGCTTCAAATCCCTTCAATAAAAATTGCTGCTAATCAACTCCTATATTTTCTTCTATCTATAGCAAATACACACGACCATAACTCTTGCTTATAATGGAAAACAACTTTTACTCATATATAGATTATTATTACTCCACAAGATTCAATGCTAAAAAGTGTATTCTATGGCATTGTAGTGTGATTTTATTAGACAATGGGAAGGATAACAACTTTGTTTTAGTAAAGTTTATTAAAGAGTATAGTGTAGAGTTTTTCCATACATAGTAGAAGGTGTAACTACTTCTACATAATATTTTAATACTTGTGTTATAGGGCTATAAGTGTTCTTTGGCAAAACCATATTCTTAAATACTTTTTATTTTTTGGATATTGTAGCGCATGTGGTTTTGACCCTTTATCCTATGATGATTTACCATAGGATAACGCCACGAAGAGGAACATAAACCCTCTTTATGCCACGTGACACATGCCACGTATCCAAGGACAGTGGTGTGAAACCCAAGTTTCAAGGCCTTGGGCCATTGAATGAAGGTACAGAGCCAAACTCCTAAGCATGGAGCTAAGGAGCGGCAGAATAGGACCACAGAGCAATTCCTAAGCATATAGCCTAAGGAGCGAAGGGATAGTAGCACAGAGTGACATGGAATAGTCCTAGAGCTTTCAATATCCTAATGCAAGTACCAACATGCAAAACGAAGCCAAATGGAGTCTAGTGCTATTTCGACATATCAGTGGCCTAATGCAAGGATATGAATACTCCACTAGCTAGCATGGTGTGGAACTTGAGCTTAAACCCAAACTGGACACAAAACAAGGGAAAACATGCAAACATAAGCTAGCTATACCTCACGTTAGTTGGCCATGCCCGACCTATCCATTTGAAACCCCCCATATCCCCCCCACCCCCCCCATTGTTTGTTGAGGAACAGACACTTTGGGCTTTCACCCCAAGCCTCCCTTAGTACCAAGAGTTAGTCTCTGGGACAAGCTTGGGTTGGGTGACCTCCCGGAAAGTCTAAACTCACAAGCTTACATTTGGTATATTAGAGAGTCCAACTTAGGTCCAACTCTGTTAGTTGGCTAAGGGAATCACACCACATATTGATTGACATTTGGCTGGTCTAGTTTACTCTTGCTGGGCTCGACCGAGGGGTAGGGTGTCAAGAACCACATATTGATTGACATTTGGCTGGTCTAGTTTACTCCCGCTAGGCTCGACTTGAGGGGAAGGGTGTCAAGAAAGCGGGGCTCTCGGGAAAGTTGCGGCTCTCAGCTTCCGTTCACGAGGGCGTGAACTTGCAGGAAAGTATGATGGATTGTAAGCAACTAAAGGGAATGATTTGAGAGACAATCTGTTGGGATTCAAATATAGAGGGAAAGGGCTCATGAATAAAAATGCACCCCTTTTTCCAATCGGTTAAGGGTCTTGGGATATTTGGGGTTAAACATCTCTAGGTGTGAATAGTACTAGGCTGGATGACTTCCCGGGAAGTCCAAACTCAAGAGCTTATAATAAAGTGGAAGATTTTATTTTTATGCAAGTGATCTTTTTGTCAAGTCACCAATAGAACATTTTAGTGCTTTTGTGGAGTGATAAACTTTCTCATAGATATACTAGTTTATATGAAATGTCAAGGTATATAGGTAAGATGGCTTATCAATTGCAATTGCCAGCTAAGGTGAAAATTCATTTGGCATTTTATGTCAACCAATTGAAAGGTGAATTGTTTTAAAGTGAAGAGTTTGATATATACAATTGTGGATGCTAGACTAGGAGCTTCTATAGTGTTCTTCAAAAAAAGTGATTACCTATAGAACTCATTATTGGGATAAAGACTTTATTTGGTGGGAGGAAGAATTGGTAGGCACAAACTTTAACCATATTTAAGTTGATCTTAATAAATTTATGGCTGTTTCAAAGTTTTTTACTTTGAAGTGTGTGAACAATATACATTACTTCCTTGGCAAGGTGTAATATCTTTGTCATTTTGTTAGTCATCTTTCTAATGGTATTACACCATTGCAAATATTATTGAAGTTGTCAACATCATCTTTCATCTTCTCTGAAGACTATGAAAAAGCATTTATGAATCTCAAATAATTATTAACATATGCATGGATGCTTTTAATATTATGTTGATGCAAGAGCATAAGTGTATTTAGTTAGTGTTATCCTATATCATATGTACATTGCAATTAGTAGAGGTGAACTATTCCATGACAAAAGAATATTTAGCAGTAATTTAGAGTTTCAAGAAGTTTCATTCATACTTGCATGGTTTTTGAACATTGCTAGAAGGTGATCATTATTGAAGCAGAAGAATTTAGTTGGTCGTATTTTAAAGCTTAAGATATATGATTTCAAGGATTAGGTAAAAAGTTTTATGACTAATACTAACACCTTTCCTCAAGTTTCTCTCTTTTATTCGGTCTTTTCTCATGTTCATAACAAGTTTGTTATTTCAGCATCAGTGATTTTTTAGATAAGAATTCCATAATGTTAGCAGTTGCTATATTTGATATTTAATTTCTATAAAATATAGTCTTTTGATGAAGTTTGTGAGGCTCAAAATGTTAAACCATGATTTTGATTAATGACTTGCTATTTCAACATTCAGATGCCTTAAAAATGATTTTCTTTGCTTTATAAAAATTGATCATGATGATCATTTGCAATTGATAACTGTATGATAGACTTTATATGCCCTTTTTGGTTGAAAGAGAGATTGACTCGTCTACAGTACTCTTGCTCCATCCATATTCGTTTAATCTAAGTTTTAGGACTAACCTTTAGACACATTAATGTAATTCAATTAATCTGTAATAATCCCCTTGTAAGCTAATATTATTTGACCTGGTGATTCATTTTCACAGCACTACAAGGATTGAGAGAAAAGCATTGAATTTGTGTTCTTTCCTATGTACAAGCCGGTTTCGGGTCGGTCACTGAGGGGAAAATTGTGGAGTTTCGCTGTACCTGTCTTACACCTTTTGTTGTTCTCTAATGTACAGACGAGCGAGCGAGCGAGCCAGAGATAATAGAGTCATACCTCGAAGAGCTTCCCAGCGCTTGATCACAGCGACAGAGCAAAGTTGACGTCCTCAGCTCCCAATCCTCCCGCGTCCTCCACTTTGATCCACGAACTTCCAGTCTTCCTGTACTGCGGGACCGCCAGCGAGAGCGTGAGTGGGCTTTGATCCTCACCTCCTCCAGGCAACGGAGCTCCGGCCTTCTTCTCCCGCTGCCTCGTCTCCAGCTTGTCGAAGAGCGAGAGAGGCTCCACCGAGGGAGCCAGCTCCAAGTCGAGTGCTCCCGCTCCTCCTCCCTGGCTCTCCCTCCATGGATCCAGCTCCCTGAGACCCGACGCCTGGCTGGCTGGAAAGAGCTCCTGCGTTTTATCCACCTCCGAGCCCAGGAGAAAGTTGTGGTACAGCGGTGACTCGCTGCCTTTGGCCTTAGAAGCTTTGGAGCTCTGAGCTTCGCTGGAATCCAGAGAGTCCGTGCTTGACTTCGAGCGATGTTTTCTTCGTCCTGGAGATCTCGACCGGGACCTGTAGCGTCTTCTAGCTGGAGAACTGGACCTGGAGCGTGATCGGGAGCGAGCGAGCCTACCGGACCTGCTTCTTTTGAGTCCTTCTCTTCTATCCCTCTCCCTCTCTCTGTCTCTATCCCGCCAGTCTCTTTCTCGATCTCTATCCCGTTCTCTGTCTCGATCTCGTTCCCGTCCCCGGTCTACGTCCCTGTAGCCTTTGTCCCGGTCTATGTCCCTGTAACCCTTGTCTCTCCGATCCCTCGCATCACGCTCTCTATCTCGGTCTCTAGGACGATCGTGACGATCGGTCTCCTTATCACGATCCCGCTCGCGATCTTTTTTATCCTTATCCCATCGAGATTGGCCGCGTTTCTCTTTCTTGGAACTGGGAAGCTCCTCCAACGGTCTTGGTGAGCCACTCTAAATGACAATGATTAATAAAAGTGCAGCATTAAACGAGAAACAAGCACCTTTTCCGAGCGTTGCGCCTCTATTCGGTTCTCTTTTGCTTGAGCAGCTGGTTCCTGCAATGGCAGCTTCGGAGGTCTTGAGGACAAGTGTAAGGAGATACAAACCTTCTCAATGTCTAAGCCTGACGATGCAACAGTTTCAAATCCTGGAGGCAGTTCATCCATCGGTCGCTTGATCGACGGTTGACTGGAAATCTCAGATTTCTGAGGCTTCGCATTTTTATTGTTTGGTTCCTCAATCACTGGATTACTCTTCGTCATTGTCGTTGGGGCGGCTTGCAGGGTGACAGCTTTTCTACCTTGAAAGACCCCCCAGAGGTACATTTTATTCCGCCAAACTGAAAGTAAACGTGAAACTATTAGACCTCTCGTAACAAAACAAAGCGGACCAAACTTACGATTAAAGGCTTCTGCAAGCCGAAGTGAAGGAATTATCAGCAGTTCTGCACCTTCCACAAAACTTTTCAAAACAAGATCTGATTTCACCATACGGTCCAAAAGTTGGTTGTATTGCGTTGGATAACTGGCAAATTTTCAGTTGTTAATGAATGACAAATTAAAAAAAACCCGACAAACCTTCCGTTGTCCACAGGAAAAAAATATAACGCGATATCCTGATCATTGGGGGGGTTGGTCAGGAACTTCTTCGGCCACGCAGAAGCTCGCTCGACTTCGTGAAGTTTTAACGGAGACGATAATAATTTCGACGCTTCCAAAACCTTGGGTGCTGCTTTGTCTGATGGATGAGCTTGTATACCGTCGTATGACGAAACACTCCCTTTGGCGGAAACCTCAAAGCTTCCGCTGTAAAATCGAACCATCAATGATAATAGACCAGAACTTAAGAGGCATACCTCCACAAGACATTGGCTGTAGGCACAGCTGGTGAGGCTTCTGGTCGAATAGAAGGTGACGGTAGAATCTTAGTTCCCGTGGGCGTTGAGATGGAAGGGACTTCAGGAGTGGATTGCATGATCTGTCCCAAGATCGCCTTAACGTTGGCTTTCTCTAAACTTGGAGTAGTCTGTTTTGATGCACTGCCGATTCTCGCATTTGTATCATCGATACTCGGAGAAGGATCCTTTGACAAAGCTTTCACGGTGCAAGATTGAGCTGAATGACCGATTTCCTTGCATTTATAGCATCGTGATGTGTTGTCACTTGACCATGGATCCGATACGGCGTTTTCAGCTAAAGGAGCTGGTTTCGCAATCTCTGCAGAAACTATCAAGTCAAAACAATGGTATAACGTTAACAATCTTATTACCTTCTTTAAATTTCGACTCTCCGGCATTGTTGGGGACGGTAGGCACGACGGTAGGCCTCGGTGTGTCAGGCCGAGCTGCGAAAGATTCAATAAAATAAATGAGATGAACACGGTTAAATATTCTCCTAGCAATTACCATCTTTCACACTGGGATGCACGGCCGCAGGTCTCGGTGTGTCAGGCCGAGCTGCAAAAGATTCAATAAAACAAATGAGATGAACACGGTTACATATTCTCCTAGCAATTACCATCTTTCACACTGGGATGCACGACCGCAGGTCTCGGTGTGTCAGGCCGAGCTGCAAAGACAGAATAAAACAAATGAGATGGGCACTGTTACATGGTCTCCGGGCAATTACCATCTTTCACACTGGGAGGCACGACCGCAAGTCTCGGAGTGTCAGGCGGAGCTGGAAAGACAGAATAAAACAAATCAGATGAGCACTGGTGCATAGTCTCCGAGAAATTACCATCTTTCACACTGAGATGCAAGACCGCAGGCCTCGGCGCGTCAGGCAGAGCTGCAAAGACAAAATAAAACAAATGAGATGAGCACTGTTATAGTCTCCGAGCAATTACCATCTTTCACAATGGGATGCACGGCCGCAGGTCTCGGAGTGTCAGGCCAGGCTGAAAATCAAGTTAGTAACTTCGTCACATGTATATTGCTAGAAATTACCATCTTTTGCAGTGGAAACTCCGACTGTAGGTCTTGGTGTGTCAGGCCTGGCTGTAAATTCAAAAATTTTAGAACTGTTATTGACTTCGAAGCTCCCACTTACTTACCATCTTTTGGTTTTAGAATTTTGGAGTCTCCATTTTTGTTTGCATCTGTCGCGGCTCTTGATGTATCCAGCCAAGACTTATTTTCTGCACGTTGCAAAACTCATTAAAGAGAAAATACACAAGTCAATCAAGAATACCTTCTTTAGATTTCACTAACTCCGCAACTGGTTTTGGTGATGTTTTTTCTCGTTGTTGAGCTATGAGTTGAGTTGGCCGTTCGCTAGCTTTTGGTCCCCTTTCAGATGGTGCTTTGCTGGTTCGCAAAAACGGAAGAGGAGGCTTCGCAATAGCTGGCATGGGCGATTTCCCTTTTAAAACGCCGAGTTTTCCCGGCTTGCGAGGTGGGAGAGGCTTAGCTTTTCCCACAGTTGGACTTTTGATGGCCTTTTCACTGTCGGCATCGCCCGACTTCAGTTTTGAAGGCGTCAGCGCGTCAACTTGTGGCAGCTTTGATGAGGCACCTTGGGCAAGGTTGGGCTTTACACCATTCTCGCGACTTTTACACTTGCAAGATTCGCATAGCCACTCTCCCACGGGCATCTCTACAAGGGGTGTCTCCATACAGTATCTGAAAACACGACAACCCCATTATAAGCCATCAAAAACCAGGTGCCAGCTTACGTATGCTCCGCGCCTTCGCTGCAACTAGTGCACACGGCGAGCCTGTCCTCATATCCGGCATCCCCGCATATGTCACAAACTTTAACCTGCAAAAACCCAATAAGAACACCAGAAATAAGGAAGAAAAGAAAAGACAACTCACATCCTCCACATCCGTTGCTTCGCTAGCTTTCTTAGTCGAAAGCTCTTCAGAGTTTTTTGCGTCGTCCACTGGTTCCCCTTCGTCCTTGGTAGCAGGAACATCCTCGTTTCCAGCCACAGTAGTAAGAACTTTCCTCCTTTTTCTCTTGGGAGAGCCAGGAGAAGCGATGGTCGATTCGTTCTCCTTCATAGTGCCCAAGGCCTGATCCTCCGCATCGCTTACCACTGGAGGAAATGCTCTGGAGTCCCAGGGGACATGGCTGCTTCCAGCCGATCCATCCCCTCCAAGTTCCTCCAATGGCTCCTCCCTGTTGGTCTCGTCGGGATTTCTCTTGTAGTTATCGTCTAAAAGTCTTCTTCGTTTAGATGGTTTTGAGCTCGTCAAGTTGGTCCCGGAAATCCTTTTGCTGACCTCACTTTGCGAGACAAACACCTCTGGCGGCTCCAGCTTTGAGTCGCTATTCTCATCGGCTCGTGAGTTGTCGATCATATGAATGAAAAAACGATTTTCTTCCGAAATATCCCCTTACCCTGCAGCAAAACAACGTAAATCATCCGGAAAGATCTCAAACGCTCAACGCATCGATCGATCGATGCATCCAGAGGAGAAACACCAATTCCTCCATCGACTGACCTGATTCTCAGCTCCTCGCCCTTGCCCGCCGCTGGCGGCAGCTACTGGCGCCGCGCACCCGTCCACATTCGCGAATTCGGCGATGCCCTAGCGCTCCCTCTCTTGCTGCGCCGCTGCCTGTCCAATCGTTTCCGCCAGTTTTCGGCGCAGCGCGCGAGGATCTGGCGCAACGCGGCCGTGGATGGATTGATCGCGCGCTCCTCTCTCCGCCTCTTCGTCAAGCGCCTTAGGGATCGTCGACGACACAAATGCACTGAAACCCTCTATTTATTAAAAGGGTTTAGCCCTAGCCTGGTATATTCCTCGAGGCTCATTGTAGCATATTCCGTCAGTCAGTCCTACCAAAAAACCAAAACGTTTCTCACGAGAATTGCCTGATATTCGAGACAACAGATGATACCATCGTCCAAACTGCAAGGAAAAAAAATAAAAGAAGAGAAGTTTAGCTTCTTTTGTTCTTCGTTTTTTTCTTTTTTTTTTTTTGAGCTTACTATACACTCCAGCGGCGAGCCATTCGTTTGTGATCTTCACCCACACGCTCGCCCAACCAACGTCGATGCTCCATCTGCGAAAGAGTTTTTAGTTTGGAGAGATTCACGACGTAACTTACTTGAGCATTGTTTGATGAAGGTTCCAGCCGACGAAGAGCATGGCGAAGTACATCGATCCCACTGCAAAGACGAAGTGGAAGAACCCGTAGCTGTATGGAACTCGCTTGATCTCTTGGTTTTCGGGATCGGGGGTCGGGTTTGCTGGCTGTTATTACAAAAACAAGTGAAAGAAGTCCGTGATTGAACTTTCTTACCACAAAGGGATTGGAGTCGGCTCCTGTAGAAAATGTGGCGAAAACAATGGCGACGAGACCCATGAAGAAGCTCTGGGGGAGTAAAAGAGTGTGGTTTAGTCAGCGGAGAATAGCTTTAAACGTTTTTCTCATTACCAGCACAGTTAGAAGGTCCGCTTTCCCGGTTTGTCTCGGCCTTGTGTTGCACACTTCGGATCGCGGCTCGCTAAGTTTGCACTAAGTTAGTTCTCTATCTCCTTTAATTTCTTGTTACCTCATAATGGCCGACCAGCACAGAAAAACAATGTATAGAGATATAAGGCCAGAAGTCATGAGCCCAGCGCTAACCTGCATACAAAATCACGTAACTTGCGAAGTTAGTTTTTCCTACTTTTCACTTAACCGAAAACTTACTTTCGGGTGAAGAGAGATGAGCGTCATTGCTAGCAGCAAGACTAAAGTCCAGGAAATGAAGAAGATGTTGAGGCTGCACGATGGCTTGGGCGCAAACCAAACGTACATAATCACCAATCCAATAAGGCAGAAAACGTACGAAAGTGTAGTCACTATCAGCATTGGAAGAAAACTGGGAAAACGTAGACAAAGATGTCAAGTAACAATCAGCTTTCCGTGAAAGAAAACCATGACTTTACCAGCGCCGAGAATTTTCGGGAGCAAGCCACTTTTCGTTCCACCAGTAAGCGAAATTCACTATGCTGAAAAGTTGTATGACGAGAAAAACTCTACACGCAGACAAAAACTTGATCAGATCACGAGGTACTTCTCGTTTGGAACACATGAGAAAGAGGCTTACCCAGCACCGAATCTCGCAATTTCGCCTGGAAAAAAAGAAACCTCTGTCACTCAAGGACGTGCATGATTCACGAAGCTTACCATATACTTTGATGATGGCTGGTGGAACGAAGAAAGGCAATATCATCAGCAAAATCCACAAGAGAAATTTCAAGGGCCACCACCCACAGTGCCACCCATCTCTCAGACCTCCAATTCTCGAAGTTCCTACTGTTGTGACGAACATGATCGCAAAAAACACCTGGTTGCAAAGAAACTTTTAAGGAACAAAGTAAGTTTTCAGCTATGGATAATTCAAGGATACGAAGCAGCCAAAACTTAGGCGAAGAACACCTTCCGAGGCCAAGCAAGTGTGGACTCCATAGCAGCCTTGAAAATCTGCCAGGAGAAAAGATGAGAAGCTCCTCATCGATCGATCAAAAGATCTTAAAAAAAGACTTTACTTACGCCGCAGTGTCCTGAATGCCTCTCTACTGTAGTCCCGGACGACCCACGCGATCAGATTTGTGAAAAGGAAGATGATCGCATAGATATATCGCGTGGGCATTTGGTTCGCTCCAGCGCACGAGCAGCAAAAACACCATGCCATTGTTCTTGGAAGTGGAAAATAGCGAACAGGACCAAAAAAAATTCCCCTACAAACAATGAAAAATCCTTCCCGAAGATCAAAGGCATGCCATGCAGCAGCTCACCAATTCGAGAATGTGGAGCTCCGCGCCGAATTCTCACCTCGCTCGATCGATTGTCACTCGCCCCGAAATATTCTCGAGCGCAATGGCCGATCGATCGCGCCGCGGCGGTAGCAATGCAGCGCCATCGCCTGATCGATCGATATCGAAACGCGCCGCCAAGCCTGCGCGAGCGCCTCCTCGCCCCGCCACGCCAAACAAGAAAGAAGCTAGACGACCAAGTAGTCCGTCCCATTAACGTTTTCCATCCAGCAAATAAACGATTCCCTGGTAGTAGGGAGGTATATTCCTCGTTATGGGTTTTGGCGCGAAGTTTGAATTTCTCATTCTCTAGGGTTTATGGCGGCGGCGTGGTGCTCCACGCCGTGCGCCATGGGGATCGACGAGGCCGGGCGCGGCCCAGTTCTAGGTTTGTGCCAATCTTTCCTACTAGCGCTATGAATCGATCGAAATGCCGGCGATCGTTTGGTTCTCTTCGACAGGGCCGATGGTCTATGGATGTGCTTACTGCGCTGTGGCGTACAAGGAGGAGCTAGCGAGCTTGAAATTCGCAGGTATGAGGTCTGGATTCTAGTTTCTCGCGCGATGGAGGTTGAGATTTTTCGTTTTTGGGTTTGCTTGGTGGTCAGATTCCAAGATATTGACAGAGGGAAAACGAGAAAGGCTTTTCGAGAGCTTGAAGGAGGACCCATCGATGGGTTGGGCCGTGGACGTCATTGATCCGCGGGACCTATCAGCTCAAATGCTACGCAGGCAACGCGCTCTCATACGACTTTCTTGAATTTCTTTTTTAATTTTTTTCCTTTGGTTGCTCCAGAGTAAAACGAAGCCTGAACGACATATCCTATGACTCAGCCATTGGTCTCATCAAGCTTGTTCTTTCCAGAGGCGTGCTACTTTCCGAGGTCATCCTTTCTTTCCCGAAAAAATCATACACTAACTTGCGAGATGCTTGAAAAAGGTCTATGTCGACACGGTTGGAGATGCCGAAAAATATCAAGCGAGGCTTTCCGAGCTTTTCCCGCACATAAAGTTCACAGTGGCTAAGAAGGCCGACAGCTTGTTTCCAATCGTGAGTGCCGCTAGCATCGCTGCGAAGGTACATACAAATCTAGTAGCTGTGTCCAATGTTTTTCTAAGTTTTTTTGTTTGCTTGAAGGTGACAAGAGACCAAGCGCTGAAGTCATGGGTGATGGATGAGGCCGGCTGCGCGATATCAAGAAACTTTGGTTCCGGCTATCCAGGAGGTACTAGTTTTCTTGACTGAGCGATATAAATACTTTTTGATTTTTTCCAGATCCTGAGACGAAGGCTTGGCTGGAGCAGCATATGGATGATGTATTTGGATTTCCATCGCTCGTGAGATTTAGCTGGGCCACCTGCAAGCCTCTCATCGCGGAAGGCGGTGTCCATGTTTACTGGTAAGAAACAAGCAGCCAAGCTATTTCCGAATTCTAAATTCTCGTTTGACATCTAGGGAGGCTGACGAAGACGATGACACCGCACTTGTGAAAAAGTCTCGATCTGCGCAAACGGAGTCGAGTGGAGCCCTGAGGCATTCCTTTTTCAGGTCAAGGCAGCTACAGCAAGTTACTACACGTCTTTAAGAGCGAGCGAGGTACGCGTTTTTCTCCAAGCTTTCAAAAGAAAGTTACTGTCACTCTGATACTGCAGGCCACCTACAGCAGCAGTAGTCACGTAAAACTTGCAAAGGAGTTTGAAAACTTGGCTTCCAAGTGTACCAACATCACTTCCAAGCCAAGGAAGAGAGCTCCAGAAAAAAAAAGTAAGACAGGCTCTCTCTTTCGATCTAATTCTTCTTGGTGGCTCTCTTCATTCTCGACGAAATCACTGCTCGCAGGATCTTCACGTACCTCCTCAGCCTCTTTCGAAGCGCAAACCGGGTGCTGCTCTTGCCTCTCTGGTTTTCCTCCTTGCGAACAAAGCGGTAGCTCTTCAAGTACGATCCCCTGGAGACAAATCCCTGCGACTCCCAAGAGAACTCATCGCTATCCTCTTCGTCCTCTCGATCACTACTGCCGCGACTGCCATTGCCGCGATCACAGCTACTGGAACTGGAACTCATTCCCGAAAGAACACCGGAGCGATGCTTGGCTCCACGAATGCCATAGCAGATTGGGGTCATCATCTCCACAGCTTCGAAAAGAAATAAAACCCCCGGCAAGAAAAATAAAACGCCTCCCTGTTCTTGCTTCCAAGCTCGAAACTTTTTTAAATGGTACGAATATTCCACCTGTGACCGGTCCAGAGCTCGAGTCTTGTCTCCAAAACTTTCCTGCCGCCATGAAGCGACCGTTGGTTGGTTCTTTTCTTTCGCGCTTTACGAGGAGCTCCACGCCGAGGCCGTCAAGAGGCACATGTCCTTCCAGGCGAGCTTGAGAAGCTCGCCATCCTCGACAAGCGCGAATCCTTCGCACGGGAACATCCCCAAAAGCAAGCTCGCCTGCGCGGACGCATTTCCCCCGAGCGCCACCGCTCGAAAGCCCGCTCGCTGGAACTCCTCCCTCCAGCTCCCAAACTTCTCCTCGCCAGTCCGGGCCGGCCCCCCAACAGCCAGGATGTTCTTGATCTCGCACGAGAGTAGCTGCTGCTCCACGACGTGCCGCTCGGTGTTGTCCTCGGGCAGGCTCGCCCCCAGCGAGTCGAAGAGCGCCGAATAGTAGTGTAGCGCCTCCACGAACCGGTGTAGAAACGAGCCCGAGTGGCTCAAGTCCTGCTCCACCGTGGTGATGATCTTGGGCCGGAGCTGGCGGAGGAGCGCCAGAGCTTTCACGTCGGAGCCAGTGATGTCGTAGAGCGAGTGGTGGAGGCAGTGCACGGCCAGAGCTTCGTTCCTCCGGACCCCCAGCTTGAGAGGATCCAAGTTCCCGATCTTGTCAGCCACGCCGTGGAACTCGAACGGGAGTCCCAGCGACGCTGCGAACTCGGACAGCCTCTTCCCAGTTTGCTCTAGAGTGTCCGAGCACGCTCCAAGGCCTGTGAGCCGGACTCTCGGCGGACCCCGGGGCCTGGAAGCGAGGATGTGGAACAGAGCCGGCCACTGTAGCCCCTGCATCACGTCCAAGTCGAGGATATGGACGCTGTCTTCCCCATCGAGAGCCTCGAGGATGGCCTGGTTTGCTGTGAAGTGCGAGAATTTCACCAGCGGGCAGAGCGAGTTGAACACCTGGAACGCTGCGATGGTGTTCTTGCTCGAGACTTTGTGCATCTCCGGAATGAGAGGCGCATACACTCCCAGGCACGAGTTCACCATCCGGGCGTTCATGGCTTCCGAGAAGTAGGCCGCCATCCTCTCCACCGAGTTCCCATACGGCGACGTGAGCTCGCTAAGTTGCGGGAGGAGAGCGTTGGCCTCTTCGAAGTTGTCCGCCGAGACCGCCTCGGCGCACTGCAGCAGAAGAGCCAGGAGCTGCAAGCCTTCGTCGTCCGAGGTAGCAGCAGCAGTGCTACTGCTCGGAGCCGCGACTGTTGGCGCAGGCGGCTTGATGACATTCCCTTGATCCTGTAAATTCCTATGAAGCTCGAACTGGTTGGCAGCAGCAGCAGCTGAGAAGTTTGTGTTCTCGGACGGTGAAGACGAGGATGAGTCGAGAGAAAGCTTCAGAACGTCTGGCCTGAGAGCGTCTGTTGTCTGGATGTGAGCAGCACCAACCGACGATGAGGACGAGGTGAGCATCGAAATCTCCATGCTGCTGTTGTTTAACACCGAGGTGGATGGCTTGTCCAGGCCGTAGAGTTTCGACTTGATGACGCTCCCGACGTGAGGATTGCAGTGGGAGAGGTTCTCCAGGAGGAGCTGCATGATGTGTTCGATGGAAACTCCAGGCATGGTGTGGAGGAGATCGTTGGCTATCGAGTCGAGCCAGGCTGCAACAGAGCTTTGATCCATGCTTTGCACGTCTGCTGCTATGAGTGAGTTCTCGGACTGATGCTGCGGTTGTTGCCGAAGCTCCAGCGGCTCAGTGTTGGTGGTGCTGTTTTTCATCGTCCAGGGAGGACTAGAATTCCTGCTCGAGTCCTCCGCAAGGCCGGGAATTGGGGCCGACGTCGACGATGCAAAGAGAGAGCCACTCAAACTCCGGAGAGGTGGAAAGCTCGAAAATTCCCAGCATGCTTCAGTACTATTGCCTTGCTGAAATCCCAATCCGGGACTTGCGAGCCACTTCATGGCAGTTGGAGATGGAGAGGCCATCAGACTGTCGCATAATCCCTTGGGACTTCCACTGGGTGTCCATCTCGGCGAACTCCCAAAGTCGAAGACGGATTGAGGCCCAACTTGTGCCAGAGGTGACTTCATCCTGCTGTTCAGCATACTTCTCGACTCACCTTCGATCAAACTCGCTGTGCTGCAACTGTATAGAGACTTGTCCGAGCTCACGTCCTGAGCCTCCGATTCCTCTTCCTCTTCTCCCTGTGGTGCAGACTCTCCATTATCTCCAAAGCCGTCATCCAAAACCTCTATGGGTTCCTCTCCGTGATCGATTCTGCTAGATTGAACTGCTTGTGCCGGTACGTATCCCACCATAGCTGAGCTTTCGAAATGCTTTTTCTTTGTTCTTCCAGCAGGCACGGGCTACCGCCTACAGGCTCCGAACTTTAGAGACCTGTACTGGAGCTACGCTCCACCCAAGTATAGTATAGACGAGTTTTTGTCTCAGATTATGCTTTCGAGGCTCGGGTTTCCTGTAGCGATGATCTGCAAAAGGATAATGTTGGTTTAGTCATGCCGTCAAGGAGTCGATAGTGAAAATAAACAAGAGCGTATTAGACGTACCGCATGATGGTTATGTTCCTCACATGGTCCGATTCTCTGTCCGAGTACGCGGGCACGGGAAAGACAACGTATATATGGTCGTATACTGGCCCTGGCTGAGCAGCGCGGGATAAAAAATATATGTAGCTCTCTTTTAGATTGATCAGAGCTTGTCGACTTGTGCTTCGTGGATGCTAAACTTGAGACACGAAGATCATTGAGCGCGGGCATCAGCTAGCTTTGCCGTAGCTTCTGATGGACAGCAAGCAAGGAGTTCTAGAAGATTAAACATATAATACCACAACTTAGCTTACCTTAAGCTCGCTTCCCAGGACAAGAGATGGTAAGCCGTCTTTTCTGCTTTAGCAACAACACAGATGTCGCTTCAGTGGGACCTCCATCTCGATCTAAAAATCAGAATCGGATACCTTTCCTCTAGCGTGGCCGTGAACGCTTGTGTTCATACACGCTCCAGCCTTGTTTCGTCCGCGTCTGTTTCTCGGCAGTGGCCGGCAATAACGTGCGCATGTTCCAATGCCTGCATCACAAAGCACACATTTTTCTATAGGGAGGGAATAATTCAGCAACAATTTGTCACATACCATTTTTTCTATTCCAGCACATTGGAAGGGAGCCTGTTACCGTCCCCGCCCAAGGCTCCATCGCATAAAACGGGATTTCCTGTCACCAACAAGCCCAGCCAGAACAAAGGACAAGCGCGTATAAATTAGTGACAAAAGCACAAACTACCTCAGTCAATCCGTGTCAGACGACCGATCTTCACCACAGCTCCCGCGGAACACGGTGGAATCTACAGAAGACAGCAAGCAACAAGGCCATAACTACAAAAACCATCATCAGAAACAAATATTTCATCAGCAACTCGCTAAGATAAGAACAAAGACCAGCTCGGGGACAGAGAGCAGCAGCTTACCCAAGTAATAATCTGCGATGGGAATGTCAGAAATTCCTACAGCCTCGTGAACCAGGAAGAATAATTTTACCGAGAAACTCCTCAACTAAACTAAACGGGAATAGAAAAACCAGACAGAGGAAGGAGAAAAGACACATACTCGTTTTCGCAGATTGCCAGGAATCTCACAGATCCCTCCACCGTGTCACCATGTGGTAGTCTGTTAGCGACAGAGACAAGATCTAATTCGTCGGCCCTTTAGATACTGGGCACATGGTGTGCTCAGAACTTTCTCCAGGTACTGCTTTGGCTGCCTCCAAAACACGAAAGCCACTGTCAGGTTTGTACAAATCCTCTAAAAGAAACAAGCGTACCTTTCCAATTCACTCCATACACGAACCACTCTTGCTGCATGAAACCAGTAAGCAAAGTTTTCAGACTGAACTCTAGAACTTTTGAGACTTGTCTTCCAGTTTGGAACTGAACGAAAAACACTTTGAAAATCGACGCTGCAGTTTGCTGTGTTAATATATGCATTGAAAGCATGCTGTTGGTATACCTGTATCGAATCTCAAATAACCTCCGGAGCGCGTTTGAATTCAACAATGTACTTGTACACTGTTATAGGCTTGTCAAACATACTAGAAAAATCCATGTCGAGCTTTTCTCCAGGAACTTTATACATTGAGACGCGCTGCAATACCTGGGGTTCATAATATTTAATTGTCATCTGAGAGTTTTTAGTACCTGCATTGCGGTGACTGAACTTCCGTCCGGATCCCATTTATATCTTGTTATGTTGCGACTGGCCTGTCATAAGATTCCACGCCATTTTATCTCAGACCGAGCTAGAGAATGAATCACCTTAATTGAAGGCGGCCCGGGTTGATCACCCCTGTCAAATACCTGGGGACAATAAATGCAGATTAACGGTGTCGACAAAGCAGGAATAGACGAGTCACCTGTTTCGAGTATTCGGATGTATCGAATTGACCAGCAGCTGACATTTCGAATGATCTTTTCGTAACAAGGTTCTCGATCTGCAAGAAACCTCACTGTGAAAAGTTTTCAGGACGACTATTACCTTCAAACCCCCGGACAACACCAAGTTCAGTCGATTGGCATGTTCTGGATCCCATGACTTTTGCTCAATAACGTTCTTGCCGACGGTAGCCTCCACCAAAGACTAGAAACGAACGCGTTAGCTTCCAGTCCAGCCAGTATGCTACTTACAGTGGTGGTGAAGAGGCGGTCTCCTATGATATTTCCCTTGTAAGGCACAAACCGAGCTTGATATACCACCTTGCACGATGTATTTCTCGTCAGTAAAGTCATTCGAAAATCATAGAACCACTCACAGTGAGTCCAAGTTGCTTCCGAGAGGAATCAATGCTCCTTTTATCAGCTTTATCTTCGCCCTGGAGAGGAAAAAACGAACAAGATCGAAAAAGATTAAATAAATCCTTAGTATAACACCTGAGGTGTCTCCACCGCTATCAGAGTAGAATAACAATTCCACAAGCCTTCAAAGAAACTGCGAAACAACCAGTGAGTAATGGACGAGAAGAAAAACGCAGCCTACTTTGGATAGTAGATATCTGGATCGCCAATCCCGAGAGTTCTAAGAAACGAATTTCCAGAAGTAGCCTCCTTTGCTGCTGTTCTAGCGGGAGCTATGAAAATCGAAACTGGAAGGGCCAAAGAAAATCTTCTAGACAATACACGAGAATTTCTTTCGTGACACATGATCCTGCCACAAAACGGAACAAGAAAGAGAGAATCAACACAAACAACGATAACAGCCATGAAATCCAGACCTCTTGGATGCGAATGAGGCAGCGCCTGGAAAGAATGAAAACACTAAGAATGAGGAATCAGTCTCTAGCGATGGAAGCTGACCGAAATTTTGCCACGGATGATGCTTGGATCTGGAATTCCTCCCTGCATTCTTCGCGGCGCCTCGATTGCATCCGCCAAAACCCGCCAAGCCCAGCTCACACTCGTTCATTCTCCGAAGCCCTAGTTTGGCGGGAAAGCCAAGAACCCTAATAGATAGAAAATGGGAAGGAAGAAGGAGAAGGCGATCTCTCCAGCGCCTAAGCGCCCTGGCGCGTCCTGGGGAGCTGGATCGCCAGCGTCCAAGCGCTCGGCATCGGCGAGGACGAGAGACGAAGGAATGGGGGATTTTGGAAGGTGTGTAGCCCTCGTTGTGCTGTATATTCCAGGATTGCTCAAGGAGTCCTCGATTTTGTTCTAGGTACATGACGAACAAAGTGAGGAAGCTGGGAGAGCAGTTCCAAGCAGAGGCTTCGAATCCAGAGGCTTCCAGGTTTTGTCTTTCTTATTTTTTTCTATAGTTCTCTAGAACTTTTGCTTTGTCTAGAGGCAATGCCGATGAAAACTCGATAGAAGAGACCACGTCAAAGATTTTTGAAGGGATTTCGATACATGTGAATGGCTTCACCATTCCTTCTCATCAGGTGCTCTCTCTGGATTTTATTTTTCTCTTTAGATGAGTGTCTTGGATTTCTTTGGTTTTGGCAGGAGTTGCGGACTCTGATGCTGAGACATGGTGGCACTTTTGAGAATTATTTTTCGAAGACACGGGTAACGCATATAATCTGCTCCAACCTTCCGCAAAGCAAGATCAAAGAATTCAGGTTTGGAAATCATCGGTTTATACTGACTGATATGTTACATTTTAGAACTCCAGGTCTTTTAGCAAAGGATTACCAGTTCTGAAACCTGGTTGGATTGTGGATAGCATCGCGGTGGGAAAGCTTCTACCGTGTACGTTTTCTGACCATCTTGAATGGTTCTTAGTTTCGTTTTGTTGTTTGGCAGGGGCGAGCTATCAGCTAGAGGCGATTTATTCAAATCAAAGTACTCTGTCTTCATTTTATGGAACCCGGAAGCTTCTTCAAGATGGAACGGAAAATGTTGAAGAGCAAGAACTTGTGGCAGAAGCGAAGCCAGACACTTCTCATCCGAATTTAGCCGGAGATGGTGCTGGAAAAGAAATCGAATACGATGAGCAAGATGAAGAGGGTGGTGCTGAAGAAGTAAATGTTGAAGACGGTCTTAGTGAGAACGAGTACATGGAACATCGCCGATCGCATTCAACACTAGATGATCCCAATTTTGTGCAGAACTATTTTAAGGTAAGCACTGGAGTTTTTTTCACTTCCTATCGGACGTTTCTTTGCAGTATTCCCGGTTGCATTTTATTGGAACGTGGAGAAACAGATATCAAGCAACTGTACAGATGCAAAGAAGAGTGACACTTGATCCAGCTTTGGAGAAATCAATTATTCACGTGGACATGGTAATTGCTGGTGACATCTAGATGGGTTCAGTGACTGTTACGTTCACAGGATTGTTTCTTTGTTTCTGTCGTGACGAGGAATCGCCCGGAGTTAGATGGCAAGCCCGTCGGAGTGTGCCATTCGGACAGCTCCAAAGGAACTGGGGAAATCTCGTCGGCAAATTATGAAGCACGCACCTTTGGTATTCTTAGCTGCCATTTCCAATATTTTCTGAACTGGTATTTTCAGGTGTGAAGGCAGGCATGTTCGTTAAAACTGCTAAAAAGTGTTGTCCAAATCTGGAAATTGTATCTTACGATTTCGAAGGTTATGAACAGGTACAACGCTATTTATCCTGCGGCTCAAATCCTGCTATGCTTGTAGGTTGCAGATAAGCTATATGAAATATTGCATCGACATAGTCCACTGGTACAGGTATGCTTTCTCCAAATTGGAGATGAACTAGTTTAATCGCTTTCAGCAGGCTATCAGTTGTGACGAGGCCTATCTTGACGTAAGTGGGATGGGTGATCCTGCTTCAATAGCATCTGCAATAAGGCGGGAAATTTTCGAGGCAACAAGGTGCACTGCAAGTGCAGGAATTTCTGCCAATATTCTACTGGCTCGACTGGCGACCAAGAAAGCAAAACCGAACGGGCAGTTCCAGATACATCTCCAAGAGGTAATTACGTCTTTTATTTCATAGCATTCAGAGTTTTGAATTGGGCAGGCGGAGGAGTTCATGATGAACCTTCCAGTTGAGGAACTTCCCGGCGTTGGATGGGTACTGCGAGAAAAGTTGCACGCATTGAAGCTATTTACATGTTCGGATTTGCGGTTGTTGACAAGTGTAAGTTTGCTGTTCCTCTTGAAAGTTCTCCTATCTCTACATTCAGGAAACTTTACGCAAGCATTTTGGCGCCAAAACTGGGGAGACACTGTACAATCACGCTCGTGGTATTGACCACCGTAAAGTGCAGGCTCCGCAGGTTTGTTCAATTTTAACTCTTGAAATGAATTTATTTGCTACTTTAGGAGAAAAAATCAATCGGAGCAGAGGTAAATTGGGGTGTTCGGTTTTCCACTCTGGCAGATGTAACGTTTTATTTTTCTTAGTTTTTTCCTCTCAAAAGTAAGCATTACGCACTTTTATACAGGCTCAAAACTTCCTTGTTACTTTGAGTGAGGAAGTTGCATCTCGGTTAAGAAAAGCAGCAGTGCATGGGCGTACTTTTACAATGAAGGTATTGCATAGAGCTTCAAGCCATCATTTTCTTTTCTTTTCTTTTTCCAGGTGAAAAAGCGAAAATCTGGAGCAGGCGAACCTGAGAAGTTCATGGGATGCGGCATTTGTGACAACATCAGCCGTTCTACTACAGTATTTTCTGTGCTCCAACTGGCTAAGTTTTAATGTGCGCTTTCGCAGCTCCCTTCTGGGACAAACTCGAGTGATGTCCTCTCGCGAATTTCTCGGCAGCTGTTTGGGTCACTAAACCTTGGTAATTTGCATGAAGCTATTTCCGGAGATCTTAATTTTCATTGCAGACGTACGTGATGTACGTGGAGTCGGCTTACAAGTTACAAGGCTTGAAGATTTATCCAATGAGCAAGGTAATATTAGTTTCTAATAATTTTCGTCCAAAGTCTTTCAAATTTCAGGTGCTAAAGAGCAAACGCGTTTGGAGTCCTGGATTACTAATTCCCCTGACAAAAGATTGAAACAACGTACTGACTCTAAACCAGGTGTGTACTTTCTGAAAGCATAAAACCACTCATAATACTCAACTCTTTTAACCAGATAGAAGCATAGAGCCTGAGCTCCCCCCCGCTTCTGAAATCGATCCATGCTTCTTGGAATCACTTCCGCCAGATCTATTTGATGAGCTTAACAACGCATACAAAGGCGAGCTTGCAAGTATAAAATTGTCAAAGGTTCGGGAAGGCGCCTGTTCAAAAACTGTACGTTCTGAGCCGATCTGTCTGTACTGCTAAAGTGAGTTTGCTTCTCTTTGAACAGGAAACAGAAGCTTCAAAAGTGGAGAATAACGGGTAACACTTTGTTGACAAAGAATGTGAGATAACATTCAAATATACAGGAATTTGTTTCAGTGTGAACAAGACAGCACTGAATCTGATTCAAATCTTGGCAAAGCCAGAGACAAGAAAAATAGCGACGTGTTCGACGTCTGGGATACCTTGTCCCATTTCCAGACGAGCGAATCAAAGATGCTGCGGGATATGCACGACATTTATACGAGCGTAGACAGTCCGAAGCACTTGTCTCAAGTTTTGGTGGTTCTAAATGCTACGTCTCACTGCGATGAAGCCGACTCTGACGATTCCATCAGCATATGCTCCAAGTTTATAAGTCAGTATCTTCTGGCAATCCTCTATAGCGATCTAGAAGAGGTGTCGGCGGTCATCCGGCTTCTCAAAAGGTAAGTTCCTTCTTTTCTTTTGTATGTTGTTCATATGTCACTCCTGAACAGGCTCGCAACGAAATCGGATGGTTGGAATCGTGTTTGTGCTTGCGTATTGCCCACGACTCAGGTGCGCATTTGTAAGCTTTCTTCATTGTTGCACGACTATATGCTTTTCTTCCTGGTAGGACCAAGTCTTACATCTTTATGGCGGCTACCTGTAACGATCGAGGCTTTCGAAGTACAAGCTAACACTAATAACTCCCGGACGCTCAGCCACAAAGTCGTCTCAGCGGAATTCTATACATTTTTCTTACTGATGCCTCGTAAGAACATCTTTTAAAATTTGCTCCAGCCTTGGCAAGTGAAGCCTTATGTTCTGGCCATCGAGGTAAATTCTCTTCCGCTCCGTCCATCCCTTCGCGGTGACCTCATCCGGATTGACTATCACAGTGTGATTGAGCCCAAACTCGTCGCTCAAGGTACTCTCCGAAGGTAAAATCTGGTATCCCACGTAGTTTAACCCGGCTTTTTCTGCAGGTCTTCCAAAGCATGTCTCGGCTGGCCCGTTGAGTCCGAATGGTATAATCTGGATCAAGGTGGAACCGGGACGCATAAACAAGAAGTGTGTCAGAGCGGCCCCGTGAACACCAATGAGAACATCTGCCGAATGGAGGAGCGAGTAAATTTCCGAGAGCCGAGTGTTAAAATTGGGAGCAAACGTGTGAACTTCGTAGCCCAGCTTCTCCGCGAGCGCGATGGTCTCGTTTCTGTTGACGATCACTCTGCTGGTTTCCCGGTTGACGAGGACAAGCATCGGCTTCGTCTTTGGCAACACAACTTGGCCTGGATTGAGAGCGATATCGAGTAAGTTTTGGAAGCTCCTCATTGATGTTCCTGCTAATCCCTCTTCTATCAGCAGGTCGCCGTGGATTCTCAGACCAACTATGACTTCCGGAAAGCAGTGAACGAGCTGCTCGCGGTCGAAATCCACCACGGGGTAGTGCGTGAGGTGCTTGAGAATTGGGGCGTATTTTCCGGGCCACCAGTGCTTGAACTGGAGGACCATGAACACGACCTCGCCTTTAAACCTCTGTGCGGTGATGAAGAGCGGAACGAGACCATCGTTGAAGTCGTGGAAAATACTTCCGGTGTACCCCCCTGTGGAGAATATCACTGCCGGGACCGAGTGCCTCACATCACAAGCCATTTGCTTCGACTTCGGTAAGCTCACCATGTTTACTTCTCCGATAGTTTTCATCATCTTTTCCCATTTCCTTGTGTAAGGTCGGATCTTCGCCAGGACATTTGAATGCGCGCTTTGGTTGGCAGACGTCAGTGCGACTGTCAAGTTGCTGCCTTTCACTCGGACATCCCCCTGCAGGCTGCAGATACTCGTGCTAGGGTGCGAGAAATCGCAAGAGACGCTCTCTCTCGAGGCGAGCCCCTGCAAAGGCACCTGGACGACTTCAATTGCAATCCTCCACCGGGAAAAGCTGGGGGAAAACTTACAATACAGTCGGAGTTGGCGAGGATGACAGTTGCGAGGACTACAAAGGAAGCAGAGCAGGAGCCGAGCAGGACACACGTTGCAACGATGTTGTGGATCTTGGTCATCTTCTTGGGTATGATCTTGTTCTTCCAGAGATTGAGCCAGTGATGAATCCAGTGCAAATTCACTTCGAGCTTGCAGGCCTTGGCCATGTTTCCTCGCGCTGCTGCGCTGCCAGTGCCGCTTGCGAACAGCTGCTCCACTAAAGAGTTTCAAAAGAGAAAATTTTATGTGGCTACAGCAGATTCTGAAGCGACTCGCTACCGACTTGGCTGTCGATTAGTCCTCGCATGGAGGGACCATTGTGTGAGCTACGTGGAGCTCCATTTTCGGTAATAGTTTTCTCTCTCGCGCACTCTTGATACTAACAAAACCTCGCCACAGGAGTACAAGAGCGGTAGCTACCGAGTCCACTTCAAGTTTGGTAAGTTTGTCACTCACGATCTTTGTGTAGTTGTCAACGTTTCACTTGTTAAATCGGTGAGCTACAGGAGAGAGCTGCGAGGAAAAATCATTGCTGGAGGTTCTCAAAGGCTTGATTGTCTTCTCTCTTTTCCTCCTTTAATAATTCTTTCTTTTTCACAGGAACTACGCATGGGGTGAGTGGTGGTGGGCGTGTATAAACTTTGACATCAGTGTTGTGTGGTCCACTCTAGAGGAATGCCTTGCAAAGTTCCAATCATGCTACCGACACAAGTGCTTTGCTTTATCATCGCTAGCGTCAGCTATGCCAAGGTATGTGCACTGTTTTATTTCATTTTGGCTCTCTAATAAGAATCTTATTAGCTGTATATGTGACAATGGCGATCAAGTTAACCTACTGAGAATCTTAAGAAGGCAACCACTTCTATAATTGAGTTCCTTTTTGTCTAATAGGCCAAATGATGTTGAGAGCACTGGTTTTTTATGTGATAATAGTCGGGATCAAAGCATCTATAGTGGACAAGGGAGAACAAGGTTTATTTGTAAGAGAAACTTTGGACTCAATTGTAAATGCCATATACGCTTTAATTGATGGTATTGGAACAGGGCCTATACAAAGAGGTCAAAATGCAGAAGCAAGCATTATAATTGACGATCTCGAGCATGGAGAATTAGAGGTTGGGATTATGGTATGGATTTACAGTTACACTGAGAATAACTTTGCATTATGTTCAGCTAATCCTAGTGAACATCTAGATGATGGTGATGCAGTAAGGGAAGAATTGAGAGATTTATTAGATCATTATACACAACATATTTATAGTTATAGTGCATCTTTTATTACGATTGTCACTGAAAATTATGCTTTCCAATACATTGTGAGAAATTACTATAGTAGACATACACTAACCTATATTTATGACTATAAAAACATTTTATATGGCAAACAAGATTGTTATATATATTCAAGTACATTAATAAGTGGCTATTTTGACATGCCTCACCAATATTTATTAATGTCACATTTTCTTGTTTCTCCTAATCGTAAAGCACATCTTTATTTACATTCAAATTGTTATTTGGTATTATATATTGGCAATAATGAAGCGTGGTGGATAAAAAAGGAAAATATTAACTGTGTTTTAAGATTGCAAGCAGATGGAAATTTGGTATTATATTCAAATATTAATGTGGTTGTTTGGTCCCCTAATAAGTATTGCATACCCCAACCTAATTGCTATAAAAATACATATTTAAGTTTACAGGAAAATTGCAATTTAGTTTTATATACATCTCATAATAAAGTATTGTCTAAAACTCCCTCAATTGAGCCTCTGTGGGATTCTAAAACTAGGTGCTAAATTGAAACTTTTTACATTTCTTAATTTTTCACGTCCAAATAAAAATAAGATATTATTTCCAGCTTAATAATCCAAATCTAGAGTTTTGGTAGTCAAGCACAATTAAACACGTCTTTAGCAACCGGCCACACAAGAGACCAGCCGTGTATTGGGAGACATCCAGATTCCCAACCTTGTACCTCAAGAATAAGGCCTCTAGCTTCTCGAAAACAAACCCTCCAAATTCAAGAGTTTGGATCTCTCCAGTGCCAGCCTGCGTACGTACGTGAAGACTAGAGAAATACGTGAAAACTCAAGAGCTCTTACCACAAGGCCTCCACCTCCACTGCTTGATTCCTTCACACTTCCACATTGCAAGCGCTCATCAATGCCTGGAAAATACTCTCGTGCTGCTCTTGCGTGGAGAATTACATCGGCTCCGCCAGCACCAGTGTCCAGTAGAAGTAGAACTTGATGGCCGTTGATTTTCGCTGGAACGTAAGGCAGGTTGTCCAGAAGAATCATCTCCTGAAAAACTTTACGTGCTTAGCTCGCATGTTTTCTCCATGATAGCAATGCAAAACATACCTGCCATTGTAGATTACTTGAGGGTACGTATGATGCCGGATCGAAAACGCACAGCAAGCCTTTGCTCACGGACATCTGTAGATGGATTTAAGAAACACAATGACCACAAACGACAAAATAAAAAAGGAAGGAAGATACATGCCTCAATGACGCAGTGGAAGAAAAGGTCGAAGCCGCAAACTCCAATAATCGCTTCGGCTGTTTCTCCGACGCCTCGGACCGAAGTTTCAATGTAGATGGGGTTCACAATCTTCAAGCCACCTATCTGGAATTGTTTTCCTCTCACAAACCTGCTTCTTACCTGAGATGAAATGAAATTCACTATGATAATGAAAGGACCCGACCGTGTCTCTTACCCGAGTTTCAACACCTAGCAAATGAACTTCTCCAAATCCTTCCATGCCAAGTTCTCTTGTCTAGAAAAGTTTGTGAGAGCTTATCAAAAGAGTTCAATCCTCAAAAACAAAATCTTTCATACCTTGTTAGCGTCGATCATAAGCCCACTGGCCCCTGTGTCCAAGAGGAAGTATCTGAAACCAGGACCACATTGAAATTAATAATCCATGCAAAGAAAAGGCATACTACCCAATATCCTGACCATCAACAAGTGGTCGAACCAAGCAGTGCCCACTTTCACATCCAAAGAGCTGCAAAACAACCAAAGTTTCCAATGAAGAGCTGTGGTTGTCAAAGAGAGAGCTTGCTAACCTTGACATTAGGAGACACCCCAGCGTCAAATTCTGCATGAGGATACACGCCGTCTCGAGGTAAGAAACGCGACGAAGGCAGTACAAACACGGAACTATCTTCATTACTTCCAACTTTCGAACACGAGACGAAAATGGAATCGATAGAACCTGAGCTGGTGACATGGGCAACCGACAGAGGAACTTGGCACTTGCACTCAGGCTAGAAATGGCACCACATTAGTATCGTAGAATCCCAAACGAAGACGAGCAAAAAAGAGAGAGAAACCTCTAAAGTTTGCCAGTCCGAGTAGCCCCACGACTCTATTTCTCCGCAGACTTTAGCAACCAGCCGCGAAGGTAGAAAGGAGACACTGTCCACAACCACACTGGCCACCACCTAAGATCATAGGACCTGCAAAGTTAAGTAATTCATACTCCTCCTCTTCAAAGAAAGAAAGACACACGACTTGCCTTGTCAAACTCCTTTATCTTCACATCCAAAATTTGCATGCGAGGATTCACAGCAACCGGCAAGTCCCCAGCGTCGGTCCTGTGCTTGATGCTTAGTTTTTCTTGTCCTTCCGCCGTGAGCCAGTAGCCATTGCGGATCCAAGCGGTGAGCAAACAAAGCTACACAAGATCATACTTACATCGTAAGTTGATAGAGCGTGAAAAGACAACTAACCTCGAGGCTATCAAGCTGGAGTTTCGTCACTCGACCAGCAAAATCAGCGTACCAAGTGTTTCTTCCATCGTGAGCCCATTCCACAGTGAAATGCTCGCCTTTAAATCTCTCATGGAAGCGACCATCCGCGCACCAAGTAAATTTGTAGTCGCCTTTCATATCCATAAACCATTGCTTCCCTACGTGAAAGAAAAATCGCTTTAGCCCAACCTTTGAGAATGAGAAGCCAAAATCCCGACAAAGAAAGAGCGCAAATTCTAGCGAAAACATCGAACGAACCTGTCATTGTGATGAATTTATCAGCGCATTCGCCCTCCACATTCTCAATCCCTAGAGCGTCCCTCATTCTTTCGATGCACTCCTCCACAGGGACCAAAATCCTCGCCGCCGCAGCGCAGAAGCCGCGAATCTCTCTCCTCCTGCTGCTGCGATGGCGATGGCCACAGCAAAACAAATCCCTCGCTCGCATTGCGCGCTCTCCCCTGGGATCAAACACACCGCTCGCGCAGACCATCGCCATGGAGCGATGGACGGCACAGATGCTATCTAGGGCTAAATCCAGAGCCGTCCGATGACGATTTTGGCGCTCCTTTATCCTTGAGGTTTTATATTGACTTTCATTGACTTAGGTTGACTGACTTGCACTGACGTTTTGAGCTCTTCGACACTCTTTCTTCCCAAGATCATGCGTGGTCTTTTGCGGCAATTGCCAAAAGTCCTCCGGCAAAAAAGATCTCGTCTCACTGGAATTGTGCTTCTTTTCGCTCCAGGAGCGCCTTCCTCTTTGCGTTGAGCGCGCTCCTCACGATCAGCGCGTCGTTTAACATCCCCGCCGCAGTGAAGACGCTGGCGAGAACCACGTACGGACCATCGTCCCGCGGTGACACCCACATCAGCCTCTCGCCCGACCGCACCGCTCGCTCCGTGTCGCGGTGCACCTCGCACGCTGCCAGCAGTGTCGACCACGCCACCGGATTGGGCACAAACGGCATCGCCTCGATCAGATCCTCGGCGAGATCCAGCCGCCCAGTCCGACACAGAAGCGTGATCACACAGTGGTAGTGATCGCTCACCGGTCTGATGCTAAAGTCGGAGGACATGGAGACGAAGTGTGAGAGGCACTCTTCTACCATTCCCGTGTGGCTGCAAGCGGCAAGAACACTCGTGTAGGCAATCTCGTTTGGTCGTACGCCATCCAAGCTCATGCTTTGGAAGAGATCGACGCAGCGGGAGTTATGCCCGGACTGGGCATACGCTGTCACCAAAACGTTCCAGGACGCCGTGTTTCTCTCTGGCATATCTGTGAAGAACTCCTTGGCTTCGATTTCGAGACCACTCTGTGCGTATGAAGCCACCATTGCGTTCATTGAGACAACGTTTTTGGATGGGATTTTGTTAAAAAGTGCTATAGCATCTTGGATATGCCCGTGTTGGGCATATCCTCCTACCATTGCGTTCCACGAAACCACATCTCTCTGGTCCATCTTATCAAATACGTTTTTAGCTTCTTCAATATCCTCGCATTGTAAAAACGCTGTGAGGATTGAGTTCCAGGCCACCACGTCCCACTGTGGCATTCTCTCAAACATTCCATTGGCTTCAAAGATATGCGCAGCTTGAGCATACGCCGCAAGCATTGTCGTCCACACCACAATGTCTCTCTTTGGCATCTGCCCAAACAGGACATTCGCTTCGTCAATCTGCCCATTTTGCGCATGCCCCTGGATCATGCTCGTCCAAAGCAGCAAGGACTTCTCTGGAGCCTCATCAAACAGCGCTCTTGCCTCCTTGCTCTTGTTACCCTGTGCGTTGAGAGCTTCGACCGCAACCGCCCACGACACCAAATCACACTGAGGCATTCTCTTAAAAACATCCAAAGCCTTGTCGAAATGCCAAGACTGGGTATACGCTGCTATCATGCTGTTGTAGGCGATCACATCTCTCTCCGGCATCGCGAGAAACATGAGTTCCATCTCGTCAAAGTGGCCGTGATGGCCTAGAGCACGAAACATAGTCGCCCAAGCCACTAAGTCCCAGCACGGAAACCTCGCAAACACCTCTCGGGCGTTTTCCAGATTGCGCCTCTCGGCATTTGCTTGAAAAAATGAAGTCCAAGCAATCACATCTTTCACTGGCATTTGATCAAAAAACCATTTGGCTCTCTGGAGTCTCCCATGCTGTGCGTGGGCTTTAAAGATAGTTGTCCATGAGACCACGTCCTTGCTCGGTATGGACGCAAATAGGGCATCAGCCTTAGAAAGATGCCCGGCTCGGGCATATCCCGCGAGGATAATGTTCCATGAGGCTGTG